CTTCTTCTTCTTCTTCTTCTTCTTCTTCTTCTTCTTCTTCTTCTTCTCCTTCTCCTTCTCCTTCTCCTTCTCCTTCTTCTCCTTCTCCCTCTCCCTCTCTCTCTCCCTCTCCTCCTCCTCCTCCTCTTTCTTTTCTTTTTGGAGAGGCAATCAGGGTTAAGTGACTTGCCCAGGGTTACATATCTAGTAGGTGTCAAGTGTCTGAGGCAGGATTTGAACTCAGGTCCTCCTGACTCCAAGGCTGGAGCTCTATCCACTAAATTTTCTAATTAACAACCAATCACTATTTTCTAGGGGCCAGCCACTGGTACCAAGCTAAAATGGGTATGAACTAACAGACTGAGAATATGAGCCCAGTGATGAAAGAAAGCCGTGGTTTTTCATAAGAATCTTTGTACCAAGGGCAAATGGCATTAAGTACTCCCTTAGTTGAGTAGGGGTTGGGAGTGATAGAAGACAGAGACCCTAGAACATAGGTTGCAACATAGGTTGCTGGTGATCAGAGGAAGCTATTTGTAGTTTCTATTTTAACTAATTATTGCTAATTAATCTGCTAAAGAATTGTAAATGTTGAGAAAACCCTTTAAATCTAGTGTTATCTAAATTCAGTACTTTGTGACAAAGCTCTGATTATCCCACCTTGGTTATAGATCTGATACTGGATTTTTCTTTCTTTCTTTCTTAATTTCTTTCTTTGTAGGTCACAGTTTGTCTTTTTTTTAAAAAATCAGTAGTCTAAAGTGAACATAAGTTTGCTAAACACGAAGTTCTTTTGATCACCATTTATAGGAACTGCAGCATCTTCTTGGCTCTGTTTCAGAAACCGCATATGGCACGGAACGATCATTTCCCAGTAAGTTAGTTTTGTATGTTATCAAAACACCAACTGTATCCTCTTGATGAGGTGTCAAGCCTCCCACTTCAGAAACTGCTCACTCAAAAAAAAAGCATCTGATTTTGCCTCTAAATTATATAGATGTCCATCAGCTGGACTAAAGCAGGGGTTCTGAACCCCTATTGGGTCATGGACTCCTTTGGCAGTGTCTGGTCCTTAAGTGCTTAAAATAAACTTATTAAATAATTTATAATAAAAAACAAACTTATTATTATTACTATGATTAAAATAATATTAAAAGAAAATTATATTATGTATCATGTTATATATTATACATTTTATAATTGTGTTGAAATACAATTATCAAAACACTAGAAATAAACAATAAAAAAAAACATGACTTTAGGTTAAGAACCCCTGATCTAGAGAGAAACTTAGCTATGCTTCCAGTGGGGTGTGCTACAGCCAGCTCTAATCAGCTAGGGAAAGCCAATTGTTGCATTTTCACTATGAGGATTTACACCAGGGGTGGGGAACCTGTGGCTTTGAGGCCACATGTGGCCCTCTAGGTCCTCAAGTACAGCCCTTTGATGGAATCCACACTTCACAGAGCAAATCCTTTTATTATTATTATTATTTTGATTAATTAATATTTATGTTACATTATATAACATTAAATATAATGTGTTATATATGATATAATATTAAATGTAATAACCTGTGTTTATATTATGTCAATTATTTTGTTAATATCTATAATTTATATATTGTTATTATTCCATTATTACACCTTGGAAATCAGCAAATGTTATAAATCAGGGCTTGATTTATTGTTTTGTTGGTTGATAAGACTTAAGAGGTTATGGAGAAAATTTAAATAATGCAGATTAAACTTAAAAATGTTTTGTGGGTTTTCAGAGAGCTGGTTGTTAGGCATTCACCAGCACAGATTCTGCCTACTCTCTACCTCCCTACCTAAGATAGCAAACTTCTACATTCTTTAATTCAGGGACTAACAATCAAATAGAGAGCTGAAAAGTCATCACCCTTGGTGGGGCCATTGTGGACTGCTTCATCTGGCTATAGCTAGCCCACAGTTTTCTATAAAGTCCAAGGGCCAATTATTAGTAGCAAAATCTTACATTGGAGAAGTGGACAATTTATTGAGAAAAACGAAAGTCACTTTAATGTTTGAATATAACAGTCCATCTTGCCTAGGTTTTTAATAGGATCTGAGGACCCAGGTTGGAATCCTAGGGATGTATTAGGGATGAATGTGTGTGTATACATAACTGTCTGTATGAACATACATACCTATCTAGATCTACAATGTCAACTACTACATCTCTTTTTGACACACAAACATTTAAGCTATTCAAGCTTAAAACTGTACTTAAGACTTTTGTAAAACTCTGTATACATAATAATAAATCACTCAATTTGAATCATTAGCAAGATGATTTTGGCTCAACTTCTAAATCAGTCAGTGAATCATCCAACAAGCATTTAATAAGCTCCCATCATGTGCCAGAGATTGCACTAAGATGCTGGAGATATAAAGACCAAAATGAAATAGTTCCTGCCCTCAAGGAGCTTGCATTCTAATGAGGGAGACTGTTTGCTGTTTGTTGTTCACCCTTCATTCTCAAAGAGGACCAATGCCACCATCTATACATAAATAAGAATATGCTCAATTACATATGTTTATAAATATACTAAATTAAAGGTAATTGGGGGAAGATACTAATATGAGGGGGGAATCAAGAAGGAATTCATGTTAGAGGTGGTGCTTAGGATGAACTTTGAAGGAAACTAAGAATTCTAAGAAATGAAGGTGAGGAGAGGAGGGCATGGGACAAAGCCTATGCAAAGGCACAGAGATGGGACATAGTGTGTTGTGTGTGAGAAGCAACAAGAAGGCTGCTTTGAATTTCTAGAACTGGAGGAAGTCTACATATATCTCTAGATCTCTGAACCTGCTTAGGTGTATTTCTGTAAAACAAATGTGCTATCTCTTGCCCACACAGTCACTTTTGGGGGTCCCAGCATTTCCAAAATCTGAGATAGGTGGCGATGTGGATGTTACCAATGCTTACGCCAAATGAGAAATGCCTAGAAGATGTTCGAGACTCATGTCTCAAGGCTGGGTCTCCCCAAGAGTGATTTCTATTGCAAGATTTTTAGAGTCTATTAGGAATCAAGCATGGTAGTCTAGGTGAATGGTCATCCCTGCCTCAATGAGGCAGTTGTGCTGTGAAGGTAATCCCTGGGGCAAAGCACACCATCATTCCAAGACCTCCAGACACTGGTCTTCAGGTTCATAATCCACCTAAATCTCCATGGGCTATGCCGATAAGATTCCTTGGACCATCGTGCTTAACTAAAAATGTAATGTGGGGTTAGGAGAAGGACCTATAACTTTTTTCTGTTTTTTTTTAGTGGGTTTTCAAAAGCCATAATAAAATTTTCTAAAGAGGCAAAATAAATAGACATTTCTTTTTTTTAGGTTCCTTTTTCCCCTGAGTTTTTCTGGTCCTGTCCTGGGCTTTGATATTCCTTGTCCTAAACACTTGTAATAGTCTCTTGCTGGCCTTGGCGGATATAGCCTCTCCAATCTGCTCCCTACCTAGAGGCAAGCATCACTTTACTCCCTTGGGTGTCCCTTAACTCCCATAGTTCTTAAAATCCAGTAAAGGCTCTTTTTTTTTTTTTTTGCCTTTAGGGACAAATTAGAAAATCTCCTTTGGGGCTTTCAGACTCTCTTCTTCACTTAGCCCATTTTATTTACCTAAATATCCTCTGATGCTAGATCCCAGTTTATAGGCTTCCTGCCATTTAGTCATCCTTATAATGATTTTTAAAAACCCAACCCTATTAACTAAACAAATACTGATTAAATGCTTTGTAAGTACAAGGTCCTAGCTGGAAATAGGCAGCTGAAAATACAGCCTTGGTTCTCCAGTAGGGTACAATCCAATCCAAGCAAAAGTTGGGGAAAGGGGGAGAATGAATCAAAAAGGGAGTGGTTAGTACACTAATTAAGCAGCAATTTGTATTGGGAACTGTTCTAGGAATTTCTAATTTAACAGATGGCACTTATATGGCAATACTGTTATTAACAGAGGGCAACTAGATGGCACAGTGGAGAGAGTGCCTAGTCTGGAGTCAGGAAGACTCATCTTCCCAAGTTCAAATCTAGCCTCAGACACTTACTACCTGGGTGATCCTGGGCAAGTCCCATAACCCTGTTTGCCTCAGTTTCCTCATCTGCAAAATGAGCTGGAGAACAAAAAGGTGAACCACTCCAGTATCTCTGCCAAGCAAACCCCAAATGGGGTCACAGAGTCAGACACAACTCAACAATAACAACAACAATCAGTACTTGGTACATTT